ATTTTTTTAAAAATGAGCCCCTGCTCAAAGAGTCTACAAATTAGCTACAGATACAATATAATTAGGGGAAGATAATCAGCTGACCCAGCCAACTGTATTCAGGTTGGAAAACAATGAGTTAAGGGAAATCTAATATAGTGCCTGAAAGATAGTATGCACTCAATAAATGTTATTGGGCTAATAAAAAACAACAAACTAGATTCTGTCTGGAGGAGAACAAAATATATAAGAGTCTGGAAAGCATATCACATCAGGACCAGCTGAAAGAAATAGCACTGTTTCACCTGGAAGGGAAGACTTTCTGGACCTAGGAGAGCTGTCTTCAAACACCACAAAGGGCTGTGCTCTGAAAGAAAGCTATGGCCGGCTGTTTGCCCAAAAGGGTGGAGCTGGCTGAAAACAGTCCCAGCAGAGAGCAGCCATCCAGTTCTAAAGCAGCCTTCAGGACTCAGTACTGTGACAACGACACCACCAGAAGATCATTCTGGAAACTTTCCTGTACTCTGATTCTGTGTTTAACACATCTCATTTACCTCCACAAATTCTTGAGGATGGAGGAATAGTTGGTATTGCTATCCATACATTAAGTACCGGATAGCTGACATTCAGAAAAGTAAAATTATACCGTGATGAGTAGAGGTCTAAGATCAAAAAAATTCTTGCCCCACCACATGTAACACCCTGGACAAGTTACTTAGCTTACCTGTGCTTCTAATAAACTTCCAGGTAAGACCGAGGTTGCTGGCCCATGGATTACTCTCAGAGTAATAAGGCCAATACCGCTAAGTTACTGCAAGCATTCCATGAAGTCAGGGCCCAGGACAAGAATGAGGCAAGCAGGCACTTGCCATGGGCACAAAATTTAAGAGATTATAAAAAAAAAACAAAAAAAAACCCAACAATCAAAAATAAATAATATTTTAATGGAATATTTTTATAAATGCAAAAAATCAATGAGGAACAAAATATCAAAATATTAAATAACAACAGGATCAGTAACTGCCATGCCAAGCCATAGAGCAGCCTGAGGCAAAAGGAAAATCAGTAATATTTATCCTATGTTTTTTAACCTTTCATTCACCATTGAATTTTTTACATTAATTTTGAAATTTGAAAATAGTTATCTAGGCCCTGGCCGGTGTTGTTAAGTGGTTAGAGCATTGGCTCATGCACTAAAGGGTCACAGGTTCAATTGCTGGTCAAGGGCATCTATCTGGGCTGCAGGTTCAATATTCAGCCCCAGTTGAGGCGTGTTAGGAGGCAACCAATCGATGTGTCTCTCTCGCATAAATGTCTCTCTCTCTCTCTCTCTCTCTCTCTCTCTCTCTCTATCTCTCTCTCCCCACCTTCCACCACCCTCCTTCTCTCCCTTCCACTCTTTCTAAAAATTAATGGAAAAAATATCCTTGGGTGAGGATTAATAACAGCAAAAAAATAAATAAATAGTTATCTTGACTAATGAGATTTTAGTCTCCCTCTTAAACTTTATGCTGAAATGTAATGCATCCCTCTCCCCATCCTAGTCCCAGCCCTGAATTAAACAATGCATGAAAAGTGCTTAGCAGAGTACCTGGCATAGTAAAGTACTCAATTAGACTTATTATTTATGACCATTGTATTGTTCTAAAAACAAATAATACTTCAAGACAGATTAAGGAGTAGAATCCATATGTCAGAGGCTGTTAAAGTACAGGAATACCTTGCTTGAAACACCTGCTCTATCATTCAAAGAGTAAACAAAACTCTGCTTTCACCCAGAAAGTGTTTCTACAGGTTCTCTGGACAGAAGTTTAAAAAAAAAAAAGAAGAAGAAGAAGAAGAAGGGGGAGGGCACGCAATCTCAAGAAACTGATCTTAATAGAAGGCAAAATATAAAGTAAATGGGATTAACTGCAATCCTATATAATAAAGAGGTGATATGCAAATTGACCATCACTCCAACACACAAGATGGCAGGCAGGGGAGGGCAGTTGTGGGCGATCAGGCCAGCAGAGGAGGGCAGTTGGGAGGGACCAGGCTGGCAAGGGAGGGCAGTTGGGGGCGATCAGGCCTGCAGGGGAGGGCAGTTAGGGGTGACCGGGCTGGCAGAAAAGGGCAGTTGGGGGCAACCAGGGCTGCAGGGGAGGGCAATTGGGGGGAACCAGGCCTGCAGGGGAGGGCAGTTGG